TTATAAGGTGCTCAACTTAATGACAACGAAGTAGGTTCCAACTGCTAACACCCGTCAAAGAACGAAACCCAGATTGGCCTGATTTCAGTCTGTGACTATTTCACTCTCTAACAGAAAGACAATCGAAGCTGGGAGCATGGAAAGGAAAGTTAAAGGACTGAGAGGAGGGTTAGCGTGGGCAGAAGAGGAGGAGGAAGGCAGCCAGGATCACCTAATCACAACCACCAATTCCAGAAAGAAGGTTTAATGAAGAAAGGTTTATGATTTGCAAGACATAGCCAAGACATCAATTATGACGTAAGAAATTTGTCTAATCGAGATCACAGAAGAGCACATTGCTGAAGCAAGTCAAACAATTAGTAAGGCACGTCCCAGGGCTATGATTTAAAAGATTTAAATCCTACCGTAGTAATAGTCTGATTTCAACAGTTAACATCTATATCTAGAGACGAGTCTGTGTAATTAAGGCTCATGATTATTTCATATCTGAGCCTAGCTGACAAGAAATTATTTGTACCATCAAAGAATTTATATGCAAGAATGACGGTATTCTGTAAAGCTAGCAAAATATAATATGATTCAATACAACCATGATATTCTGGAAGAAGAAACTGGAGGTTTTCTATTGTTATTACTTCTATGTTAAATAGTAAGCAAAGCTTTCTTCTCTTGGACCCGACAGACCTTCACCTGTGTGTGTCTTCAGTAGCCTTTACTGAGGCTTCGATCCTACCCGTCCCTTCCCGCTCCCTCGTTCACCTAACATTTACCAGCATCATGGTTGTGTATTAACAACATTACAAAGAATCTTTGTTTTTACTTAATACTTTATAGAACTCTTTGAAGTGAAGTTTCCTCAGAAGTTAGTTATCTCTTGATATCTGCACGTCACAACAGAACTTCATATTTTCACAACCACAGTTTTGATATTAAGTAGAAAAAAATTTAAGTCAGAAACAGTATAGCAACTATTAATATAAGGACTCATAGGAAAATTAAAATATGAGTTTCATGTAAATATCAAAGTCTAGTGTTCAAAAGGCAGTTGCAATGATAAAATTTTTAGTACCCAAAGAGTCTGGCACACACAGAATTAAAGAACCTGTTGGCCCCAATAGGAATGTCCCTGCTGATACCCGTCCTGGAGGGGGTGACAGTGAGGAAACGTCTGGCCTCTGGGAGGAGCACACTGAACGTGCTGGCGTTCACGTTCCATGGATGGCAATGAGTGCCAGACAGTTTGAATTTAGAGCAGCAGACACAGTTAGGAACACACTGCTACAAGTAACAAAGTCTGCTAAAAATTCTGAGATAAAGAAAGCAAAATTCTCTTGCTGTATTACAGAAAAGGAGTATATAGTTTCAGAATCTTCATTTCCTTATACACATCATTAGAATAAACAGGACTTAATAGTTTCATTTTACTGAACACCTAAAAATAATGTTCAAGTTCAGACCCTCGGAAGGTATATACTAACTATAATAATGCTTCACAACCATTCAAAATTTTAAACTTTACAAATCCACTAGAAAAAGATAAATAAAGGTCTAGTATATCACTAAGGGCAACATAACTACTCGTCCAGCTGTTTTTCCGAACACCTACTTTGAACACCTACTCGTAGGTTGCTGTGGGCCGAGAGGCTGTCCAGCAGGTCCAACACAATCTCCACGCTTTGGTGATCTTATGATTAGGGTGGACAGAAGCAACTGTGGGGTTAGCATAGATCAGATACAGCACAGATTTGAAGCAATTACATGAATTTTTAAGATTGAGAAGACCATATTAGTAAAAATCTACTTGATAAAATCAGGGGATACTCAGCCCAAGAGATTAGCCACAGTGGTTTGATCACTAGCGTTCTAACTACTAATTCACCAATTCAAAGAACAAAACTGCTTTTATGTGGAAATTATTCTTAAAAAAGTGAACAAAAGAGGCTTGGCACCTGTAGCTCAATGAGTAAGGCACTGGCCACACACAATGAGGCTGGCAAGTTTGAGCCTGGCCCAGGCCTACTAAACAACAATGACAATTGCAACCAAAAAATAGCCGGGCATTATGGCGGGTGCCTGTAGTCCCAGCTACTGGGGGAGGCTGAGGCAAGAGAATCACTTAAGCCCAAGAGTTTGAGGTTGCTGTGAGCTGTGATAATAGCACTCTACTGAGGGTGACATAGTGAGAAAGTAAGAAAGTAAACAGAAGGAAAATATTTTTTCTTTACAAGCTCAGCATACTCAAGATCCTAGAGTTAACAGCTAATGTTAGCATCTTAGATCTTCTTGCCCTCCCAAGTCTTAAAAAGATATAAACTTAAGGAGAGAACTCTAAACTAACATGCAGAATCCAGGAAGCTGGAGCTGCTATGCGGGAGGGTCTGTGTTGTCACAGCGGTGGTAGAAGGTGGGGCAACTGGCTTCCTCTCCTCCTCCATTGGGTCTTTTGATGCCTCAGACGGCTGTGACTGTGATGTAGACGAACGCCCGAATCTTGAGAACAGCATCCCTCCGAGCCCCTTTCCGATGCTCGCGGCCCCTGCATGTCACAACACAGCACAGTCACTCTGCAGAACGCACCATCCACCGTGCCACGAGGCACCACCGTGTGAGAGCCAGCGGCAGAGGAACCAAACCCTCAGCACGGTTTTACAGGGTGGGAATGTACAAAAATTACAATTTATATTGTAGGGTTCTAAATAAAAATGGTGAAAAGAAGATAAGTTATAAGAACATACAAAGGAATAAAGATTCTATTTTATTCAAGTGATCGTTGTTTATTCAAATATTTGGCAAGATTGAAATCTTTAATAAAAGAACCATGCCATTGACATGGGTATATATTTGCTATTAATATGTTGACTACCATAGTCGAAATGTTATAAAAAGCCATTAATAAACCTGTGAGAATGACCAGGAGGGACAGCAGAGTCTGGCAGATAAAGCCTGTTTGTTGCGCCATCTGGTGGCATTTTGCATGAAGGCAACTTGTAGCCAAAAGCAGTCGCTAAATTCAAATGGCACATGACTGAGCTCTGGCCATACCCCAAACACTGTGCAGGAGAAGACTCTGTTCAAAGAGAAAGTAAACATCCTTCTGCCCCCAGGAAACACACAGTTTGAGAGCCTTTCAGAAGAGATCAGAGAACTGGTTGAGGGGCACCCTGGGAACACAGGGCTCTCATCTTGAAGGTGGACAGGTAGAGCGTTAAAACCAGGAATTTGCTCCAGATCTCAGTGAGCGTTAAGACCGACATCAAAAGGCGGGACAATCTTAGAATAATGCTTTTTCTGGTCCATCTAGCAATCTCATATTTTAAAGTTATAGAATATGATCTAAGCTAAAAAACCTTGAGAGCTTTTTGGTCCTCAAATATAAACAGTGAGAGAACCGTTAACTCTAGACCAGGGGTCCTCAAACTTTAAACAGGGGACCAGTTCACTGTCCCTCAGACTGTTGGAGGGTCGGACTGCAGGCCCTGGGATGAGTCTGCCACTAAGCAGGACAGGCAGTGGCGGCAAAAACACCCGGTGGGCTGGATAAATGTCCTAGGCAGGCCGGATAAATGTTCTAGGCGGGCCGCGTGTGGCCCGTGGGCCATAGTTTGAGGACACCTGCTCTAGACACAGGGGTTAGCTGCTGAAAGTTCCGTGATACACAGAATATCTCTAGGTCCCCCAACTGTGATATCTATACAAGAAGCGCTGCTGGTCACAGGCGGGGACACTTAGAGACATACCCAGGATGCTTGCTTTGCCGATATTCGTTATGGACTCTCCGTAGTGCCGGCGGGACAGGACAGGCGAGGTCACGGGGCTCGGTATGGTAGTAACACTGTCATTCTCTGAAACTGAGGTAGGTTCTTTTATTGGGTTGAGAAAGCTTGGCTTCATATGTTCGTAAGGTAGAGGATTCGAAGTATTGTACCAGTGGATCTGGACGGGTGAAATGTTGCTGTAGTGTTTCAGTATTAAAGGTTCTAATCTATAAGCCTTGATTAAAAAAAATTCAAACAAACACAACATTAAGCACAATACTTAGATATTAGCAAACTGTCCTTACTCTGTTGCATGTTAAGTATGCTTTACAGAGGAAATTTAACTTAAAAGGGGGATATTCAAACATGTATTTCTCTTTGTTCACCATTAATAATAATATTTCTATTTGGTTGATGATATTATGAAAAAATGAATCTGAGCTAACAGTATCAATTAGTTTTTCAGAGAAAGACTTTTATATTGTTCTGTTATCATTTAACTATTAGATTTATGTTAGTCACACTAGCAAAGCTGAAGTAATACATGGTAATCTAGAAAAGAGCAAATAAGGTCACTTCTTAATATGTGAAGGAGGGTGACATAGCGGAAAAGGCAGTGAGTGTGGTGTGAGAGTTCTCCAGCCTCCTGTCACGGCGCTGTCTCTTATTAACTGGGTGAGGCTTTCTGGGTCCTACGGCAGTGGTTCTCAACCTTCCTAATGCTGCGGCCCTTTAATACAGTTTCTGTGGGTCGTGACCCACAGGTTGAGAACCACTGCCATAAGGTCTCAGGGTGTGGGTTTCCTGAGCTGTGAGAGGAGGTAACACCTTCTCCCTCACGGAGCTTCGAGGAGGACAGGAACTGTTATAAGAACTGCAGTTCTGATTTAAGCTATTAAAAAAAGCACAAAAAAACTGAAATGGACAATAAATATTATAAGTTTAGATTCTTCCTTTACAATATAACAGAGTTTAAGATGCATAAAGGACAGGGTTCGGAGTTCATCTATGAACTCAAATTTACTGTCAAAGTACTAGAGAAAAAACAATGTAAGCCTATGTTAATTAAATGCCACTGACTTGCTGGTGTTTTCACATGTACTTTCCTCAGTCCTAACCCCCTAGGATGTAAAGTAATATCTATACAATTCAAATAAGACAGGGCCTCAGAAATGACTAGGCCAGGACTGTGCAGTCTGTACCGGAATCCAATAGTAGACTTTCCGGTCAGTGGCTTATTTTTTAAGTATGGCAGCTGTGAGTCTTTAACATGTGGGAGATTTTCTAAAATCTAATCATGGTCCATATTGCCTTCATTTGGTATTAGTAAAAACATCCTTTAAAAGACTTCATAAAGTTATATAAAGCTATATGTAAGTATAACATAAACAGATCATCCCTAAGGTATTTTATTTCATGATCCTTTAAATTAACGTTTAGCTGTTTTAATAATCAGATAAATGAATTCTTTTTTGAGATAGAGTCTCACTCTGTCATCAGGCTAGAGTGCTGTGGCATTATAGTTCACAGCAACCTTAGATTCCTGGGGGCTCACGCGATCCTCCTGCCTCAGCTGGTGTCCGCCACCATGCCCAGCTAGTTTTTCTATTTTTAGTAGCGACAGGGTCTCGCACTCCTGAGCTCAAGGGATCTTTCCGCTTTGGTCTCTCAGAGGGCTGGGATCACAGGCAGGAGCCATGGGGCTGGCCCTTTTTCATTAATTCAATGGCACCTTGCAAGGTTTTTCAGATTCTTTTATGGACATTTTAATATTGAGAAAAGTACATATTGCAACTCACCACTGGATCTGTAGGATGAAAAATATTTAGTAGCCGGTTACAAATCTCCCTAGGTAAAATATGGTCCTGACTTCCAGTGTTTCCAGGGCGGATGCCACGCAATGCCAAGAAAACCGCCAGTGGGGACCCCATGCAGAAGAAGTTCTCAACCTACAATGATGACAGAGTCACTCGGAATTTAAAAATGGTGGAGTGTTAATTTTTCTTTCTTTCTTTCTTTTTTTTTTTTTTTGAGACAGAGCCTCAAGCTATCCCCCTGGGTAGAGTGCTATGGCATCACAGCTCACAGCAACCTCCAACTCCTGGGTTCAAGTGGGTCTCCTGCCTCAGCCTCCCAAGTAGCTGGGACCACAGGCGTCTGCCACAACGCCTGGCTATTTTTTGGTTGCAGCCATCGTTGTTTGGTGGCTTGGGCTGGATTCGAACCTGCCACCTTGGGTGTACATGGCTGGTGCTTTAGCCACTTGAGCCACAGGCGCCGAGCCGAGTGTTAATTTTTCAACAGAAATTTGGGTATAACATGATAAAATAAAAGTAATAACATTATTTTGAAGTATATTTGTGAAATGAGCTTTGTCCAGATGGCATTCTTGCATTCTTTGTTGACCGTATTCCAATCATTAAACGTTCTAGAAAAATCATTATCTTTAAATCTAAAAGAAGTTTGGGGGAGAAGGATCATTTCCTTGTATGTCTCTGTGCACTCGGCAGAGATTTACTGAGCTCCCGTGGGAGGTGCTGTGCCGTAAAGGGACCAGTGAGAACCAGCAAGACAAAGTGTCCACACTCACAGTTCACAGTCCTGTGGGGAGGCGGAGTGAAGGAAGGGCCATAACTGGGGAGGAAGAGAGTGAAGAAAAGAATCATTAGTTCCAACTCTGAGGGCCTCAGAGAGGAGGCTGTATTTGCACTGGCCAGTAAAAAATAAAAAGGATTTCTACAGTAGAGGTTTGGACACTGAGGATGGCGTGACATTTCAGACTGTTAGAACCACATGAGGGTGGTTGAGACAGAAAGAATCTGGCTTATTTTTGAGAATAGAAATAGTCTTATATGGCTGAAAACTTGGGTGTGGGGAAAAGGTGGCTTAGAATGATAATATTCAGGCTTGGTACTTATAGCACAGTGGTTATGGCACCAGCCACATACACCAAAGTTGGTGGGTTCGAACCTGGCCTGGGCCAGCTAAACAACAATGATAACTGCAACAACAACAACAACAACAACAACAACAACAAAATAGCCTGGCATTGTGGAAGGCACCTGTAGTCCCAGCTACTTGGGAGGCTGAGGCAAGAGAATCACTTCAGCACAAGAGTTTGAGGTTGCTGTGAACTGTAACACCATGGAACTCTACCAAGGGCAATGTAGTGAGACTGTCTCAACAACAACAACAAAAGAATGATAATATTCAGAGCCTTGACTGTTCACTAAGAAAGCTGGACTTACTTCATTAGGCAGTGAAGGACAGGATTTGCCCCATATTTTAGGAAGTTAAACCTGGTTGTAGTGTGTGGATGAACTACAAAATTAAGACTGATGACCTGGAGACAAGTTAGGAATCTAAAGAATTTAGGCAAGAAGGAATCTGAACTAGGCAGGATAAACTGTTTCACCCAGAAATGGGAAAGCGAGAGGATAGCAGAGATGGACAGGATCGAATGGAGATGGGGTTAGGGGCGTATCAGAGACAATTCACAGACTGGGGTCTGGCTGACTGGGAGGACAGCGGATGCATCAGTTAATTATAACAGTAAACTCTACGTAGATTCTGTTTTTGTTCATTGTTAAGTGTGAGGGTTTTGTACAGCATGTTTTTTATTTTTTTTGGAGGCAGAGCCTCACTGTGTTGCCCTGGGTAGAGTGCTGTGGCATCACAGCTCACAGCAACCTCAAACTCTTGGGCTTAAGTGATTCATTCTCTTGCCTCAGCCTCCCAAGTAGCTGGGACTACAGGTGCCCACCACAATGCCCGGCTAAGTAAGGCATGTTTTAAATACTGTTTTAAAAGAATATGAGATAAATAATTAAAAAATCATTGTTCTTTCCTTACCTTAAATTTTAAGGCAGGTGCTTGTGTCATAGATGCCTTCAGCTCACGCAGCTGTTCTTCTATCTCCCTCAGCCTAGGACAGGGTGTGAAATCACAGACACATGTGTGCTTCATAACATCCTGTCTATCAGATGTGTACTTAGTTCACTTAAGTATAAAGAAGCAATGATGAGCTATTATCCCTTCCTCACATTAATCCCTGTTGACAGACTATAAATAAATGCATCTGCTGAAGTATAGGAAGCCTATAAAAATTTGTGAAACAATTAATAAAATACGACTACTCCTCACGACACTTGCTGTCAATAGCTTTTTTTTTTTTTTTTTGAGACAGAGCCTCAAGCTGTCCCCCTGGGTAGAGTGCTGTGGTGTCACAGCTCAGCAACCTCCAACTCCTGGGTTCAAGTGGGTCTCCTGCCTCTGCCTCCCAAGTAGCTGGGATGACAGGTGCCTGCCACCACGCCTGGCTATTTTTTTTTTTTTTTTGGTTGCAGCCATCATTGTTGTTTGGTGGGCCCAGGCTGGATTTGAACCTGCCACCTTAGGTGTATGTGGCTGGCACCTTAGCCACTTGAGCCACAGGCGCCGAGCCTGTCAATAGCTTTTTAAAGTAAGATGTGGGCTATATACAAACACATACAAGCACATACACACCGAATAGTCAATTCAGGGACATCGTTCATGATGCTCCTTTCTCTACCTGGAGAGCCTCAGAGGTGAGGTGTGTTCACTTCATTGCCTCCGGACCTGCTTCCTTTTTTATGGCAACTGTACAAGTAACCGACCACCATGCAGATGAACCACAGTTTAACCCTTCTCTGCTGAGGAACATTTGGGTTGTTTCACCCTTTTCCATTACGATGTCACACATCTACTTACATTTAATAAACTGTTAAGTTTTTGAAAAAAGCTACAGTTCAATTTTCTTTTCTTTTTTGAGACAGAGTCTCTGTCTGTTACCCAGGCTAGAGTGCCATGGTGTTATTTCAGTTCACAGCAACCTCAGACTCCCGGGCTCAAGTGATCCTCCAGCCTCAGCCTCCCAAGCAGCTGGGACTACAGGTGCCCGCCAAGACGCCAGGCTGTTTTTAGAGATGGGTCTCACTCTGGCTCACAGTGGTCTCAAACCTGTGAGCGCAGGCAATCCAGGGGCCCTGGCCTCCCAGAGGGCTGGAATCACAGGGGTGAGTCACCCTGCCAACCCTTGGAATAAGTTTTAGATTTCACTCCTAACAAATTGTGAAGAAAAGAGAAGGAATAAAAGAAGACTAACAAAGTAATTTGTTTTACACTGCAGGAGCATGCATATGATTAGCATGAAAATTAACAGTCTCTAGCTTGATCAGGCACACTACATAGTAGCTTTGTATCCTGAACAATGCATTTTTCCCTTTATCAAGAAAATCTTAGGATCTTTTGTCCTAAAGGATCCGTGACTTGGCTTGGGGGCCAGGACAGCGGACAGCTTACCGCCGCCGGGTCAGGAAGAGCTCGCCCAGCAGGTGGCGCTCCTCGCTGCTCAGCCAGCCCTCGTCAGGCAGCTCGTCCTCCCTCCGCAGCAGCTGCTCGTAGAGCCGGACCGGGTTCCAGCCCATCATGATGTCATACGTGATCACACAGCCCAAGGAGTGGGACACTATTGAGACTTTACCCCCATTTTCTTCAAAGTTTGGATTCCGAGAACAGAAAAGGGAATATAATCGGTTCAGCTCTTGCTGAAGGCCTTTAACTAGCTGTTTGGAATAAGAAAAGAAAACATTACTGTATTAGAGTTATCGCTAACTGCCGTAAACTTTACTTCTAAACTCAGATATATTAAGGAAGAAAACCCACATAGCTGGCCAAATAGGCCTCAGTTGTTAAAATAACTCGAGTGCTTCAAAACCTTGCAAAAATAAGTAAGGTATATATATTATTATAATCCACACCACTAAAGAGTGCAGGTAGATCCACCCATGGGGTCCTTACACAGTCCTCAGACCAACTGTAGGAGCCAGGAGTCCCACAGATTCAAAGGTCCATGCTGATCCTAGTGAGATTTCCAAGACTCTTGGAAATTTCTTCATTGTAACTTATCCATATGCAATTCTAAACTTCTGTGGTTTTCAGTTACAGTAAATTTTAGTAAAACAATAGCAGAGTTATGATAACGGTATACTGTTAGGTATTATGCATTTAGATAGCGTGATGCAAGGAAAGGCTTTAGTGTGCCTGCGAAGGGGCTCACTGCTGATGGACTTGGTATCTGTAGATTCCCATGAAGTCAGCAATAACATGGGAGCAAACAGTTATCTTCTCTGGTCAGGTTAGTATGTGAGAAGTGGCTTAGTAATTTTTTTGTAAAACTGCTTTCTTTGAAATTAGGCTTTAATAAACACTGCTGAAATATCCGTAATGCCAGAAGTGCACAAGGCCCTTCTGTTCCTCAGCTCGCACTGGGCCCTGCCCTGGTTCAGAAGACTCTTCCCAGCACGGCTCACTCGGATTTGTCTGGTCAGTCCCTCTCCAGGGCTATGTAATACCAGCCACTACTACGAAACCCAAGTGTTAGTTATCTGCTGCTTCTGTTTTCAGTTGTTATGTCTTAAGAGAAAGCCATTTTCCACCAACTTCTATTGAACATTCTTCATGTTCTGACATAGACTGAAAACTCTTGAGTGTGTTATGACTGATGGGGTCAGGAGGGACATAAACGAAGGCACTTGTGTTCTCTCTGCTGACATGGCAGAGCCTCAGGGTGTCCCAAAGGCATCCATACCCAGGAGCAAAATCAGGGCCACAGATATTCTGCGAGTTGTTCACCATGAGTGGGACAGAAGACTCCATGCATGTGTATGTGGAGAGAGGCGGCCAACACCTAGAGAATATTTTAACCTTTCTGGAAGGCAGGGAGTCACATCCTTCTATAATATCTTATACAAACTAAGTGCTCAATAAACAAATTTCAGTAAGCATGTAGATTATTACCAGCCGGTTCAGGATACATACATTATCAAACCTTACCTGGGTTTCCTGATACAGTAATTTTGCCAAAGCAACTGATTTTACTGTCAAACACCTGCCCTGAGTTTTGCAGCTAACGCGGTGTGAACACTCACTGCAGATGGCCCCAGGGAGCCTCATGGGGCAGTGGGTGCTCACTGCCTGCTGATTACACTAAAAGCCCAGAGATGTAAAAGGAATCGGCCAACGGGTGACAGGCAGATGGCTCACACTGTGAGTGCAGGAGACAGGGGGTCACGGCGAAGGTGAAGCTGTACCATGTGGGTTCAGATCCCGGCTCTGCCACTCAGCGGCTGGGGCACTTGGGCAAGTCCTGAGGTCTCTTTGCCTCAGTTTTCTCACCCTTCACATGAGGATACTGATCACATCTACTTCACAGGGTTTTTGTAAACATTACATGAGTTAAAACATGTTCATCATTCCTGTGAAATGGAATTCCTTTCCCTCAAACCACCAAAGTGACAAGGTGCATCTGGGAAGACTCTCGCATCCCATGGAGCAGACATTTGCCCCTTGCCCTTCAGCGCCGCCCTTCTGGTGCCCCAGCAGCACTACCATTTGGGAACTGTATGACCCATCACAGAAGGGAGGCAATAAAAGCAAGTCTACTATATACAAAAAGTTTAAAGAGAATTTTGCATCTAAAATTCTTTTGTGGAAGCAACAGTTGCAGATATAATTAATCAGATTCATACAAACTGATGTTTCTCAGACCCCTGAGACCATCCATCTTGTTAAGGGTCCCAGTGTCTAGTTTGAAGACTATCAAATTCACTTTTAAACACAGATGCTATTTATAGATTAATTCCTAAAATGTCTCATTTGCTTTTATTTTATTTTCTTGAGACAGCATCTTGGTCTGTCACTGTAGGCTGGAGTGTAGTGGCAAGATCATAGCTCACTGTAGCTTCAAACTTTTGGGCTCAGTGATCCTCCTGCCTCAGTTTCCTGTGTAGCTGGGACTTACAAGTTCATGCCAGCATGCTCAGCTAATTTTTAAAAAAATTACTTTGTAGATACAAGGTCTCACTAGGCTGGCCTTGAACTCCTGACCTCAAGTGATCCTCCTGTCTTGGCCTCCCAAAGTGCTGGGATTATAGGGCAAGTTACTATACTTGGCTTTCATTTGCTTCTCTAAAGATAGTATAAATAAAAAAGAGCATAAAATGTTAAAATTCAGGACATTGGCACTGTATCAGTGTAAATAACACCCAACAGCAACAAGATACTCACCTCGTCTCTGTATAGTGGGCTGGTATAATACATTATGTCCATGGCACTGCTGTTCAGCATGTCCCGTAAGCCCCGCACTTTGTCAGGAGTGATGGAATCCACAGTGTCTGCAGCACAAAAAGAGCAACACAGCAACAGCAAAACTAAACTTACAATGAAGGGTCTGCTTTAGGGAAAAAAATACATGTGAAAATCACACTGCCTGAAGTAAGAGCTCCTTAACTTAACACTAAAATACTGAAGACCAGATTTGGCTTTTATGGTCCTTCCCTTCCTGAACAATATTCCAAGAAGTGGTGTAAGACAAAAGGGGACATGAGAAAAAGACACCCTGTGGGACCAAGGGCATCACCAAATCTGTGAAGCCCCTACCTTGCTCATGTGTACTGGCTTCTGCACGAGGTGCAGGTGCACCCAGATCAAAACTAGGCCAGACGTTCTGGAACAAGCTTCAAGGGACACAATCCCAACTCCTTTCACAGCTCCTCTTCTGTTTTCTTCTGATTTTTTTTTAAATCTCTGAACCCTGGGCCTGGCGATACCCACGGGGAGAGACTAAACAGTCCCCCGAGTTTACATGTATCTGTCTTTAGTGAACCGGAGGGTCTACAGGCAACAACTGCCAATCACAGATATGCACAAAGGCAAATATTAAGTATATTTGCAAATTCCTCATCAGTAAACAAGATGGGGTTGCTGTAATTTACCACACTGAAAGGAAACTTACATAAATCATGGTACAAACCAGTATAGTCTTCCCTTGGTCTGTCACCCTAGGCTGGGTGTAGCTATGAGTTGCACTTAACCTTTGGAATTTCCAACTTGGAAAAATTATTCTATTAGACACCTAATAAAATTATCAGAGATGCAGAAAATTTGGCATTTCTTACAGAATGATAAAGAAGCACTACACTTGGATGAATACTATAATTTGAAAAAACAAGCTGGGCAGGATAAAGCTTATGATTTTAGTTAAGTACAATTTCTATCACCCTCTAGTTTTTTATGGCATTGGCTTGGGTTATTTTATTCGTATTTATTCCTTACTTTAATACGATGTAGTAATAACCAGAAGGCGATGACAAGCAAAGGCTGCAAGTCTTTTCACAGATACAAAGGGAAGTGCTGAGGCTGTCCATGGGCGCATACTGTATTTACAGCCGGTACACTGAGGCTGTCCATGGGTGTACACTGTATTTA